GTGGCCCGCGAACTAAAATATATTATTTGTCTTTTTTATCGGACAATTTTCGCAAAAAATCTATATGGGTTTAAAATACTTTTCTTTCGTTAAAAAATCCTAATTTCTTCGTTTCTGTGAAATTTAACATACCAACGGTGCAAAAAAAAATTTTTTTCTAGGGTTTCGCATCCAAGAAAATATTTATTCAAATACAAAATTAATCCTGTGTGTTGCTTAAAAATCTACTTCTTATTTTAATTTGTAATTTAGTATGTTTGTTTTGTACAATTTGATAAAAATCTGACAGTAATATTTAATGTTCCTTCAAACATAAAAGAGTCCTATAGAAAATTTTGATAAAGTTACGGCCCATCATTTGACTGGTGTTTTAATTGCGGCCCCCGGCCTCATGTAAGTTGGATACCCCTGGTCTATACCATACATATTTATTTAATTGGTAAAAAATTTGCTATTTTGTGTATTGGTTACGCCCCTTTGTTTATGTTTCCTTTTACAATTGACAATGAAGGAATTATTGGTCATATTAATTAATAATTATTATCAATATAATCTAAATAAATCTTGTTCCAGGAATCTCAGTAGGTTCTCATAAGACTGACTTTATATAAAGTGATTTTATTCAAAAAATAATATTTGTTAAAAAATGCAATTCACATTATTAAATTTATTAATGTCAATTCTCTCAAAATGAGTGTTTAGGCATCTTTACAAACTTTAAGATGTTAAGGTGAAATAAATTTTTACTTTATTTTCCGAAAATTTTATTATAATGTAAGAAAACTGTTAATACTTTTTAGACAGGAATGATATTTATATTTGAAAGCAACATTTTATAGGATAAAATTAATTTGCTCGCCAATGACAAGCAAGAGAGTGGAAATTTCATAATTGTTTTTGGATTCTTAATTTTAATGGTTACATAATTTATAATGAACTTTAAGAAACTATACTATTGTATACAATGTTTTCACCAATTGTTTCATCAAATTCAATAAACAAGAAATCGATCCTTTAGTATTGATTAACAGTGAGAATTTTTACTGCTATCAATAAATACAAACACAAAAATATGCCATTCTATAACTAATAACATCTCGTCAAAAAAAAATCTCTACTTCGTTTGAAAAGTTTCAACAAAACTCCTTTTTTAAATGTTTTATGGTATAATTAAAAAAATTGATAATATAAAATAAATATGTACATTCAATTTACAAAAAATACTTTAGGATTTAAAAATGTGAGGTAGAATTCAAACGTAGACAATTACTTTCATTAAACTCATATTTCAATTAGTATTTACTTTTTAAGAAAATTATAATAAAGTTGAAAATTATATAGCATTAGAAACAATACTCACTTGCAAAAAGCGTATTAAATATGAAAACACCAGCCTATTTAACTCAGGTAGATTTTTCACGATTTGAACAGCAGCATCTGGATCATTGCAGTAAGTGATACATTCTTCGTAATATTCTGCAGGAATCAGGGGTTCAAATAGTTCTCTGTACCACTGTTTCAACAAAGATGCTGGAACATGTGGATCGTCACACTCGATTAATTCCCACTGGTCAATCTTCATTTTCATGGAATTGATTTCATCAATATCACCAGGTACTCTATGAGAGGAATTTTTTTTACATAATCATAAAAATGCAACATCAAAAAACCAAAATATTCTCAAAAATAATTACAGGAATTAGTAATTTAAGAAAAATAGAGTGCAATTAAAATCAGTGACACAAAGTATGAATAATATTTTTGCATTTTCATGCTCGCGTAAAAAAACAAAACAATGTGTAACATGAAATAATGCTTCTAAATACAGAAAAGATATTTTTTGACATACAAAATGTATATAATTCAAATTTCACATAATAAATAGAAGAATTAAAAAAAATTTAAAGTTTGTTAATGTTTAAATGTTACTTAAAAATAAATTCATTTGAAAATAAATTCATTTTTTCAGAAAGAGCTAAACTTAATTGAAGTTTAACATACAAAAATGTTTAATTCATAAAGTATGTATATTGAGAAAATGTCAAGTAATTTAAGTAATACATTGAAATATATAAATATAAATCTAGAATTATATGGCAAAATTCTGAAAAAAAATTTACAATGTTCAACATAAAAATATGCACCAAATATGATATTTCTTTTAAATTTGTCTCTAGGAAAGGCTGTATTAAATTCTACACAAATTTCATGAAGAAAAACTTTAAATTACATAACTTTTGAAAAGACAATTTAAAGTTTGTAAACCTTTTTTTGAATATTTCAGAATGCAAACGTTAAGAGCAAAATGAAAACTTAATGTAGTAGCTTACATATTTATATATCAGTAAAAAATAGTTATAGAAAAAAGATTGTTTTCGCAAAAAATTGTGACAGTAATGAAAATTCATTAAATTCCTAATCCTTCAAAACCACATTCTATTTGGATATTGCAAATATATTTTTGAATCATGAAGTATACAAATAATTAAAAAGACATAATTCTAACATTGCATAAGAAAAATGTTCAATGATAAATTTCATATAATGGTTTTTAAATGTGTTAGTACTAAATGGGGGAGTTAAGATATTGCATAACAAAATATTTGTCAACCTGTAGTTAAATTCATATATAAGCACAATTTCTTTTGTCATTTTAAACCTTTTTTGAAAAAAAAAGAAAGAAAAACTAAGAAACTAATTTTGTGATTTTTATTATTTCAACCTGTTTTTCAATAGTTAATAATAATGCATTTCTTTTCCATTTCCATAATGCACTTATTAAACGGAATGAAATGTGGTAATATAATTAAATGTAGAAAAATAGCATTAAAAATTGTTTTTAAAAGGTCACGAACCATGGGATAAACAGAATAGTGCATGGAGTTTACCCACACATTGCACATTAAATTTGTCTAAAATACACTAATTTTCAGCAAGTCATGGGTTTGAAACAGTGCATATCTCAACTCAAACTGAAGTCCAAGATGTCTTTGCTAAAAAATGCAAATATCTACACGTATCTTTCCTATTAGCTCAAAAATAGAAAATACAATAGGGCAACCATTTTCTTGTATTTGATAATTGAAAAGAAAGAATTTGCTTTCAATTGATAGATGACACAGGATCAAATAATTTAAATTTTGAATATTAGGTACCTGAATATTCCTTCAGTATGGGCACCATCTAATTGAAGTACGGCTTCAGACAAGGTAGTCTGAACCCATGGGAGAGAGTAATTTGGGAATCTTTTCTTTTGCAAATCCATCACTTCATCAAGGCTGTTACCAAACATTGAGGGGCGAAATATTTGCACCTGAAAGTAAATATTTTATTGTAAAACAAACGAAAATATTAATTACAATGCACAACTCTGAATCATGGTGGTTTAGGACTGTGTGTCCCAAACTTATGACTTTTGTGTACCCCTTTTAAATTCTTCGTAACGCTGTGTACCACTGATAAAAAAAATGAATGTATTTTTAACAATAAAAAAATTGCACAAAAGTTAAAAATCACAACTGGCTGTTGACACCACTAAATATTAACTCTGCAAAAAATATCCAATTAGAAAAATACGTAATCGTAAACTTTCATGGCTAGCTTGTTTTTTATTAAGTTTTTTTTTAAATTTTCGTTTGTTGCAAGATATTTCGCATGAGAACGCGCACCCCCTCTAAACTGTTCCTGTATCACACTTTGGGAAACACTGGCTTAGGGGATAGAGCGCTCTCCTTCCAATCAAGTGAACTGCGTTCGAATCCCAGCAATGGCTGGTTGATTCAATTTCTGCATCCTGCTTGCACTGACCACAATGCTGATGTAAAATGTCTTCATGGGCTAGACTAACAGTGGGAGGTTTTCCTCTCCATATAATGCAAATGCGGGTTAGTTTCATGAAAAAGTCTTCCACGAAGGCAAAATTTCTCCAAATACATGATCAAAATACAAAATTGAGTAAATACAAAAGTGAGAACAGAGAATAGAATTCTTTATTAAGAAATAGAATTCTAATTTTCCAAAAAATTTTATACAGGCCTTATCACATATACTTATTACTAATAAAAAAAAAAGTATCGCCTATTACGTAGCATTTTTAATACATTTTTATTTTGAACTGCATAGTTAGACATAGCTAAGATATAAAAAGTCTTATAAGAACTGAGTGTAAGCATTAAAAAAATTCTTATGAATATAATTACTAGTAAGTAAAAAATAAGTGTTTGAAAGAAATAAAATTGATCAAACTTTTACTTTCTTTCAATGGAATGGATACATTTGATAGTTAATGAAATTAGATAAAATGTAAGCATTTCAATCAAAATATTCTAATAAATTATTAAATCAACTTTAAGAATCTTATTGAAAATAGTTAACAAAATATGATGTCCTACTCTAGACTGTTCTATTTCCTCAACAGTAGGTTTTCTTGAACTCCTGGCAGCTCCCTTGTGGGATATTTGCTCTAATCTTTTACCACATACTAATGCATAGTGGCTAATTTTTAACTGCAAATAAAAAAAAAACATATGTAAATATAATTTTGTGTAAAGATAAAGAAAATAAAATTTACACTGATATCAGTTTATACTATTAAAATTTCACTTTTCAAATTCACAGAACATTTCAATTCAAAATTAGTTCTTTAATTAATAATCAAGTAAATTATTGAAAAATGATAAAAATTTGTTTTAATAACTTGTAACAATGAAAAGAATTACAAAATGTTAATATTTTAAGACCCTTCTGTAAATTGAAAAATTATACTCATGTTTAATCAAAATGCCAAATGAAAATTAAAGCAGTTAACCATAACATAATTACTATATTTATTATATTAAGCATTGTTAATTTTAATTTTGAATTCTTCTTTTTACCTAGTGTATCCATGCCGTTTTTTTAGAATCAACCATTTTATATAATCAAATGTGATCAGAACGAATGCGATTTTACTAAGTGGCAGGCATTGTAAACAGATCAAAACTTTTATTAAATAAATTGTACCTTTGGAGTATTGAGTATCCTACTTACTATGTAAATAAAGTAGATAAAGGTGCTTTCTCTTTATAATTATTAGAAAAGTGTAAGAAATGACTTAAAAAATAAAATTATTTCATTTATTGTTGAAAATTATTTTACCATTTACAATAATAATCAATTTAAATTTCTAATTCAGTTGATGTATATTTGAAATGTAATTTTTCCTTAAAGGGTGATTAATCATGCCTGGGGTTATTACTCCTTGCTCTCTCTTTTCCCAAAAGTGGAAGGGATAATTCCCAAATGTGTAAAATTATAAAAACTCTATTTTTGTAAGTTAAAAACCAAATAACGTTGAAAATGTATTCTATGTGTTTTTTAACAATGAAGAAGCATTATTGTTTGTTGAAAATCTAATTTTAACAGCATTATTTGTAATTTACATTCTAAAATCAAGTGAATTTTAGGTTTAAAGATTTTAAAAGAGTCTAACATGTTAAGAAATTATGCAAAAAATTATATTAATGTATAATAAATGTTTAAAAAAAATTAAGAATTTTTAAAATAAAACAATTTTGCTGAGCATGTAGTGAGCAAAAGTTAGAATATAATTTTAATAAAAAGTATTCAACATAATAATTAAGAAAAAAAAATCGGATATTTTATGTAGAGAATTAAAATATTTTTACTGTTTTTTTTGTAGTTTATAGGTTACTTATATATTCTTTGGTATAAGTTATCAGTTGGCGACAATGATCACACCGAGCAATACATACCGAGCATAAATTCTAATAAAATAACATTAAAATAATCAAAAAAATTTTTTTCATTCTAAGCAATTTAAAATTAATGGGAATTTCCAGGCAAGCCTATGGGGAAAAAGACAAAAATACTAACATTTTTATTTATATATTTATATATTACGATAATTTAACAATACTTCTTTTTTTTTTAAAAAAAAAGAAGCAGCTTACATCTGGAGGATCTAAACTGCTGCTCTGATGCTTTTTAATATATCCTTCTAGATAAGGTTGAAACTTCATTGATGGTGGAAAGAAAGTCAAGCATACAGCCATCAGTTCCCAGCCCAAAACAAGACTTTCTCTGCAGGAAAAGTAAAACACTTAATTTTTGTTATGGTTATCATTAAAAATTGTTGTACATCACAAAATTTAAAAAAGGATAATAAAATTTGTAATCCTTACAATCTTAGTGAAACTTCATTGATGCTAGTTTACATTTTTAACAATATTTAATAATGTTATTTGGAATCAAATGATTAAAAAGATCTAAAAAGCTTGTAGCAAATATATTTTAATGATATTTCAAACAAATAGAGAGTGATTTTCTGAAATTGAAGATAATTTAAGAATTAAATGATTTAAAAATTCAAATGGTTTGTAAAACAAAATTTTTCAAACTTACAGAGTTATAATTCTTTTATTGTAACTTAGTATCATAATCTTCCCAGACTTATTATTATAACAAGTTGATATAAAATATGATATTTATTGTTATATGCATGGAAATATTGTGACCCCTCTTATTTTTTCTCTTTAAGTCTGAGGACACAAATTTATTAGCTTCATACGTAGAGAAAAATAGGGGAGTCTCCTAGTTGAAATAGTATCTCCTGATTATGATACGAATAAGAAATTATAGCAGCACTATTAACAGTTAAAGTACAATAAGTTTAAAGATTCAAATAATAATAAGGAAAAAAAATAATTAGATGCTCCATTTGTTAGATTGTCATAATACTTGCTAAGAAATTACATTTCAATACTTAACTTTTGATACAAAATAATAATGATACAAATATTTAATTAATAGTTTGATAAAATCTTTGAACTTAATTTGTACATCTACCTATATTCAATATTACTTAATATTTCAATATATTACTTAAAATTTTATTCCTTACTTAATTCAACCTTATTTTACAAATTAAAAGGGATTTAATGAGATAATGCAGACAAACATTTTATTATTTTATGCAATATGTTGCTCAAAAGGAGTTAAAGTTTCAGGTAAAATTGCTTAAAAATATAAATGAAGAAAATAATATAATTAACAACAAAATAATAATAAAATAAATAAAAACCTGGTAAAAATTCATGTCAGAAGCAGATAAAATTATAGGAATTCATATTCTTCAAAAATTTTCCCCTTAAGTAATCAAAGCACTGATAAATAATATTAGAAAGGGATGAACAGCACCAGTTTTATGTTTCTCAAATCTAAAGGGAGAGGAATAATAAATAAACTTTTAAAAAAAACAATAATTAAATAATAAAGACAAATAAATAAAATAAAGTATGAAAAATAAATAACAAGTTAACTTGGGAGTAATTTCTTTTGCATCAATTTAATTCACTGAATGTCAGTGGGATATAAAATTGTCTAATATTTAATAATTAAGACACTAAACAGAAAGAAAAAATTAATTTGATCAAACCCAAGAACAAAATGTTTAAATAAATGCACACAAGAAAAGAATTTTGAGAAAAAAAAAATATCAAAAATCTCTAGAAGAAGAAGTAGAATTACTTTAAGTTATGGTAAATGAGAATTGATAAATATTATGATATGTACTATATCTATAAATGCCATAGATTTTAAAAATTTTATAAAATGATTGCACAAGTTGAAAAGGATGGGGAAGAATTAAAAGTCATATTTTGGGCCATCTACAAGAAAAGTATATTAAAACTAAGTTATCACATGGAAAAGACAGAACAAAAATACATAATTAAGTATAAAAATAAAATAATTCATCATGGATAGAATTAAATTACAAATTGTTTATCTATTCTTTGCTTCTATGTATTTTTAATTATTTTTCTACTGTTTTGTACACCAAGCTTAGAAAAACAATATCAAATGAAAGGTATTAAATGGTTGAACATTTTATTATTAATAAAGATAAATGTTAGTACTGTTCAAAAGTATTTACAGTGCATTAAGAATCAATAAAATACATAAGGTATGCTTCTATTCTGACAAAACCTTTAATAAAATTGTAACAAAAAAAGTATGATAAATATATAATAAAATATTTTGAACAATATATTTCAAAAGGACATTTTAGATAAGAATTAAATTTTATATGAGGAGTAATTGGTACTGTTTTTCTCACTTTGAAGTAGTAAACGATAGAAAATTAATAAATAAAAATGTAAAACAAAAAATGAAATAAATAAATGATTGTTACGTTAATTTTATACTTCTATAATAGTAGGTAAATAAGTTTCAAATATATCTCATAATTCTCCAAATTTTGTTATACAGCCGGATCATGGAAGAACCGCAAAGAAAATTATAAACTCTCAGAAAATTAGTGGTTGACTGTACCAATATATGTTTTAAACATGATGAACAATGCAGAAATTAGCAACACTGATAAATAATTATAAAACAAAGAAATAAATTAATACAAAATTAAGACCTTTTAGGATTTTCTGTTGTTTGCCTACAAATCTGAATATAAAGTTCATCTCTCAAAGCAGGTTTGCTCCATCCTCTCGTAGCAATATCCAGAACCACAGCTTCATAAGTTTGACCAGATTTGGTTTTGTGATCCAACATATATGTCTGGATTTGTTTGAAAATTTCACATGCATCACGTTTCAGAGACTTGTCAGTAGTGGTTATCATAGGTTTTCTAATAGGATCCTAAACAATAATTTAAAAAATTTGTGCAAATTTTTTTTAAAATCAAGTTTAAATTAAGTTAACAAATCTACATGCATAACAAATTAAACACAATTTTTAATCTCAGACAACAGGACAATTTTATTAACAGTTTTAAAAGTTAAGTGATAACTTTAGACAAGCTTGAATAAATGAGTGATTAATTTTTGTCTAATTTGGAATTTTAGTACCAAGAGATGACGTTACAGTACCACCTGACTTTGCTTTTGAATTTAAATAATTATATGGTAGGATAATAATTATAATAATATTTAAAAAACATTTTCTTTAAAAAAATATTTAGAATTTTTTCTTCTTTTTAAATATTGTAATGTTTGGATTCAGTGGAAAATATCATATTCCTAATGACATTCAAATCTAAGAACAAAATGTACATAAGACAGAGGGCCTATCTTGAAAAAAAAAGCTACTACAGCCCTTTAAAATAATACATTCTAAATGATACTTCAAATTTTAAATTTAGGTGAAAAATTTGAGCATCTTGACCAAGATCTTAAAGAGAAAACTTTCTGGGAAAAAATCCTTTTAAAACATAACATTGATAATCACAATTTCAATTTAAAGGGTAAAGTTTACCTTAGACCAAGAAAGCATATCTTGAAGAGAGAATTTTTTACGAAAAATCCCTTTTGTATGTCGATTTAAATTATCTTCCGCATATTTCTGTATATCACCTTTAGTGGAGCATTCTCCTTCCTGTAACAAAAACCACACAAATAAATATGACATTGTAACAAACAAATCAAGAAATATTTATTTAAAAAATCATAACAGTTATTACCTCTGATTCTTCAACATCATTGTATTCGACCAACTCGTCTGATTTGTCCCCATATGAATCATAATAGGAAGGTAAACATGGTTGTTGATTTGAATCATGAACAGAATAAATAGACGAAGAAGAGATAAGGTCTTCTGCTTCTCTTTCTTTTGGATAATTAGGCCCTGGATAGAAAAATAAAAAATATATTTAAAAAGATTAAATATTTAACAATAATAAAGCACTAAAGATAATGAATTCATCCTAAAAAAGAGTCACAGCAGCTCTGGAATTTTGAGTGTTCGCATCTAAACGAGTTAATACAAGTTTGAATCCAAGCCGTTCATGGTTGATTGAAATTCTGCTCCCGGCTTGCACCGACCTCAAAACGTAAAATATCCTCCATGGTAGACAGATCATGGGTTAGAGTCCCCTTGCTGTCAGGCTAACAATGGAAGGTTTTTGTGGTTTTACTTTCTATGTAAAGCAAATAAAGTTTAGTTCCATCAAAAAAAGTTCTTCACAAAGGCTAGTTTGCCCCTATTCTCAACCCATTCCCTTATCTTCTGTGTTGGGTTTAAAATTACAAGGCTACGGAGTTGAACATTAGTAGTCATAAATTCATAAAACTGGGTCGGCTGTTCAACAACAGTTATAAAATAAAATAAAGGTTAGTTCCATCAAAAAAAGGTTTCCACAAAGGCTAGTTAGCCCCAATTCTTGATCCAGGAGTTCCCTGTTTTCTGGGTTGGGTTCAAAATTACAAGGTTATGGAGTTGAACATTTATAGTTGAAAACTCAGAATTGAGTTTTTCAACACTGGTTGTAAAATAAAATCAACCCCCCCCCAAAAAAAAAGCGTACAGTAGAGAGTTTTTATGGATCACTTTGTTATGACATAACTAAGCTTTCAATAAAAAAAAATCTTAAATGACTAATATTTTCCAATGAAGCCCCATTTTTTTATTGCAACAATCATAAGAATGTAACAGAGATTATTTGCATTTTATGATTTACTCATGTCTCGCTTGCAGGTCATTATCCCAGATGCACACTGTACAATTACTGAAATTACACAACTATACTATTAAACTATAATAATATTTACTTAAAAAAGTCAAGAAACTAACCAGAAACTTGAGCATTTGATTTGCTTTTAGGATAAGATGATGGATGAAGTATGGGAGAATAGTAGTGTTCACTATCATCTACAAATATGTAATTATCAAGGTATTCTAAGGATGAAGAATCATGACGGCTCATTCCTTCATCATCAGCAAAATGATCATCGTCGTCTCTTTGCCCATCTGAATCATCATCACTTTGGGAAAATGAATCTTTGTCATCACCAAAATCAGTTAGATTTCCTAGAAAAAACAGAAGTCTGTGATAATTCTAGAAGATTTATGAAGTTATAAACGATTATTTAAAAAAAATGAAGACCCCAGATGCTACAGGATTTGTGACTTTCATTTGTATTGAAGATTTTAATCAACTTTTGAAAAATTTTATGAAAAAAATTGATTAGATCAGATTCTAATTAAGAGAACAAATTAACATTTAACTTTTCTTAAATTCACATTACGTTTGAATAGTTAAAAAAGTAAAATATATACACATGCAGGCAGTTAACTAATCTCAGGGACCTTGTTACCAAAAAAACAGTCGAAGTGGTTCGAATTTTTTTTAATATTTTAACTTTTTTTTTTGTGTGTGTGTGAAGCAATATATTGAATAGTTTGAAATAAAATAAAAATAATAAAAAAATTTCAAAAGCATAATGTATAATTGTATTTCTTAGCCAGTGTATTTACCTGTGCTTGTATACTATACTTCTGGCCTACATTTATTTTTAGAAAATATTTATAATTCATAACATACTGTCCCCTAGAAATTTTGTAGACTCTTATACACATACCTGTCACCCTCAATAACTTTCAATGCAATGATTATATTTCTCTGTACTAAGTTTTAATCTTAATGGTTCCCAAGACAGACTTTAAATGAGATAATAAAAATTTAAATGGACTTATAAATTAAGTTAAAAAATCAGACACAAAAAAAATATAATGGCGTTTACTAATCATAATTTTTTTTATTTTAACAGAGTTTTAAGCCTCAAAATAAAGGGAGTAGCTGTAATGCAAAAAATATAGTTCAAATGAAAAAAAAAGATCAAAATTTATTAGTGAAAAAAAATTTTTTTATAACTTTTTAATTAAGGACAAATTTTGTTTGTTTTATGTACAAGGTATGCAAATAGTTTAAATAAACGTACCTAAAACTCCAATGAATGCTGTTCAATAGTTACACAGCAGCAAATTTTCAAAAAAAGTTTTATTTTTAAATTTTTATTTCTTGGGTACTAATCAGCCAACTTTGTACAGTTTGGACTAAGTGATTTAAAATCAATTAATTAATATGAAATAAAAAATTTTATACCTAACATGGCAAAGTAGCTTTTTATCATTTTATTATTTTTTTTACTTAGATTTATTTATTCAAATAAAAAATAAAAAATTTGATTTGCATAAATAATTCCTGAGATGAGGAAATATGGAAAAATAAAATTAACATATATTGGTCAAAAACCTTCTCCCATCCTCTTGACTAAATTAATAGTGATCATATTTTCTGACTAAATTTACTAATTTAGTCACGCGATCATATTTTCTGATTAAAAATTACATGAACAAATATTATTTGCTTAATAACAATGAATATGCTAACTAATTAAAAATCAAGATTTATTTTAAAATACCTGAGAGTCTAGCTTGTTCCATCAAATATTGTTGCAATGGTGATAAATAATTTTCCCCTTGATAACAACAAGGCATATTAAAATCAGGGGTCGTACACAAAACAGTGTGGTCATTTTGACATGCATAAATATGCTTGCAAGAATTATAATATCTCTGACGAGACAGCATTCCCTCTCCTCTGAAACTTCCACTTTTATACTCAGGAGAAATTTTACACTTCGGCTGAACAGACTGGGGCATGATCAGCTCAGGCACGTACCTTGGCTCTTTCCTTTGCATGTTACGAGTATTGTAAGAATGTAGAGGTAAATCAAGAGAGTGTTGCTGCTGTTTGTAACCCGACATATTATGATCCGTATATTTAGTCAGAGGGACATGGAGATTGCTTTTGCTTCGATTAAAAGACTGCAAATTCTCCAAAGGCATGAGGGGACTTTGAGGACTCGAGGTGCTGCTTTCGGCTTTCCGACAGCTGTTGATATCCGATTTATGAGAGCCTTTAACAAACCACTGTTTTCGACTAGCGAGGGGTGTGCCAACAGCCTCGGGAGGATAAGTAGTGTTGTTCTCAATCATGTAGCTGGCTGTTTGCTTAATTTGATCCAAACCGAATGACAATGAATTTTTGGAAAGCACTTTCCGATAGTGTTGTGGAGTAGACCTTCTTTTTGGTTCATTGCTGTTGCTGAAATTCATGCAACTTTTACCGAGACAAAGTTGCTGAGATGCATGCCGGTGTGTGTTGGGTGCAGCAGAGTCTAAACTGTGCTGTTTAGGAGTACTACGAGGAGGCGCTTGCCAGCACTCGAACGAATGTTGCTTCCACACTGGAATGATGTTCCCAAGCATCGGTCTCTGTATAGTATGCCCAGATCTTGATGCATTGCTGAACTCAAGATTTGGGCACCTATCACTCCACTGTTTTGATTCTTGCCAAGAAATTCTAGGTTGTATGATATTTTGATCTTGAAAATAAGGTGAATCTACACTTTCAGCAGAACAAAATTCCAATTTCCTAGTAAAAGAATAAGAAATGAGTATTATATAGTTCAAATTTTTTTCTAAAAAGACCAACATAAAACTCATACAAAACATGAAATGCACATAATCCCACATCTATGCCTTGTCGAGGATGAACTACACACCGAGAACTGCATTATTATATAATAAGAGCTTCTAAAATTAATTATTTCACAGTTTTTATCCACAAACAGTTAAATGTTTTAAAACAGGAATTTTTTGTGATTTATAGATTACCGGAAGGTTTTCTATAAACTGTTTCTATAAACTGTTCTATTCACTGTTTCCGGAGACTTCCGGAAACAGTTTCTTATTGTTGTTTCGCTTACATCATTATTCCAAGCACTGGAAAGTAGCCTCATGGCTTTAAGTACATCAACTTTGAAAGAAATATTGTTTTCAAGATCGTTTATCATTTTTCTGACAAGCCTTTTACGATAAGACTGTTTAAAGCACTATATGATACCCTGGTCCATCGGCTGCAACTTTGCTGTTGTGTTTGGCGGGAGAAACTGCAAGTTTACTGCTTTCAAATTAGGTAGATCACTATGCGCTGTGCCTTAATCCATAAAGAGTATCACTTTTCTTTTTTTTAGCGAAGAATTTCCGATCCAATTTTCCTACATAGTCTTCAAATAAAAGTGATGTCATCCAAGACTCTTTGTTAGACTTGTAATCCAAAGGATACGTTTTTACATTCTTGAAACATCGGGGATTTCGGTATTTTCATATAAACAACAACTCCCACCACCAGCAACCTGACCTTGAACTTTAAATCTTGAATCC